GAGTCCTAGGCACTGCCCTGACCCTTCTATTTGGTGTACAGTGGCTGGAGCAGGAGGGAAAAAAACCACTTGATGAGTCACCAGCCTCTCTTCTTAGCACGTCCACCAGTTAATTTTGTCTCTTGCTGTAAGATAAGTGTCAGTGTATCTGTGCTAGTGAGATTTAAAAATAAGCCTCTGAACTGTAGAATGCCTGTTGAAATGTGGGTGAAATGTTTTACATAAAATTTCTACTTATTAACTTCATGGCTGTGAAGTCTTCACATCAAGAATGGACCACTCAGATATCTGAGAGAACCTGCTTCAATTGAGAAACAAAATCCCCTCCAGCCTCATTTGTCACTTACCAACTCAAACTAGAACCCATACAGGGTATCAAACAACTACAGCCCTTACTCACTGGGGACCTCATTGTGAAGAATCTTTCCTGAACCTTCTCATCTAGTGTTTGAAGACCCTCCCCCCAGCTTCTCCACGCTTGAGATCAGAAGCAAACTCCCCACAGATCAGGACCTGCCCATTCAAAATGGCCCCAGACCCTGCCAGGCCAACAAACGCAAACCCTGTAGACATATCTCCACTGTTACAATGATTAACACCCCCACAACATACCTGTCAAGATCCATGAATCTTACACAGGCCTATCACAATGTGTGTTGTACCTCATCCAGTGCACTGCATGCTCTGGGAACAACTATGGGATGAAACCAGACATTTAATGACTGAACTCACACAGGAAAATGATAAAAGACTCAAAGACTCTATCATCAGACTCTTTCTCAAAGCCACATGTCAGTGCTCATCTTCAGAGGAACCCTGCACAGCACTTTCTAAAGATGAGCCTGGGAGCTGGAATGAGCTTAATAATTTTGCTAAACACTAAAAATCACAGTCTTAATAAAGTTCTGGATTTATGGGTTATTACAACAATCTGTAACCCACTAATTTTGTTCTATGACAACAGGTGTGTTAATGGGTCTCTTCACCTTGATTGGTCCCTTAGAATATATTCTAACTACTTACACTAAACTATCTGTTTGACCTTGTATTTAGCTGTGACATTCTAAAAGTAGTTTTCCCAGACATAAGGAAGAGCTCTGTGTAGCTCAACTGCTTGTCTCTCTCAGCAACAGAAATTAATCCAATAACAGATAGTATTTCACCCACCCTGTCTCTTACAAATGTTGAAGTCTGAGTACATATTGTACATTAAACAGTTAGAGCGCATCTACACTGGCATGTGCTTTTGCACAAGAGATGTGCTTTTGTGCAAGAGCGTCTATGGCAGTCTGGACGCTCTCTTGCGCAAGAAAGCTCTGATGGCCATTTTAGCCACAGGGGTTTCTTGCGCAAGAAATTCATGTTGCCTGTCTACACTGCCCTCTTGCGCAAGAGCTCTTGCTCAAGAGGGCTTATTCCTTGTGGGGGGAGGAATAACTCTTTTGGAAGAAGCCCTATTTTCCAATGCTGTACTGTAAATTTACTTGCGCAAGAACGCGCGTGCAGTGTAGACACCCAGCAAGTTTTTGCGCAAGAACAGCTGTTCTTGAGCAAGAAGACGCCAGTGTAGACATAGTCTTACTTTAAAGACCTTAAGAATCTATCACTCTACACTGGTGACTTAAGTTTAGGATGCAATAGTCAAGGGTTTAATGAACTTTTTAATTGTACAATTCTCAGTAAAATTTGGATAAGAATGACTAGCATTTAGCAGTTTGCTAGCACCTGTTATTAAGCTGTAGCTCCTTTAAAAAAAAACATGCTATTAACCATAGCAAAATAACAGAAAAAGCTACACTGGTGTGTTAACAGACTGAATAATCAGAATTTTTTAAATTTGTATTTTTTAAAATTTTGTGTGATAGTGATGACAAAAGTTTGGAATCAGCAGTTGTCAAAGTCATCAACCCAGATGAGCAATGTGATGCCAACTTGGGGTTACAAGCGTCTTCTTCCTCTGTAGTAGTAAAAGAGATTCTTCAAGAGGCACCAGAGTTAATCACTCAACAACTGGCTCATCTCCTCAGAGGTGAGAGATTACTCTTTATATTAAATACTGAAAGGTTTAATGGAG